TCCCACTGGCTTCTCACACCCAGATGTGATGCTGTGCCCAGCTGAGCCCCCATCCCAGCCCCTGGCAGCACCCATGGGTGGGAAGGAACCAGGTGCAGCTCACATGAGGTGCAGGGGGTACGACAGAGTGGAGATGTTTCCCAAAACAGCCCTGGAAGGGATGGCGCCGAGCTGCCAGCTCACCCCGCCGTCACTGTGCTGGTTTATTAAGGGCTGAGAAGCGTCGAGGGGAAGGAGTGACAGATTTAAAATTAACTTGCCAAACTCCCCATCAATATTATGACAATTCCCTGCATCAGTTCAGTGACCTGACAGCATGAATGGAGCTGTGTGGAGGCAGAGCTGCGGGCTGGCAGCGCTTGGGGTGGGCGCCCATCCCTCTCCGTGGCACCCCATCCACCTCGAAGCTGTGCTCAGCACCACCTCCAACCTGCCCTTTTCCTTCCCCAAGGCTGGAAAGAAGCAGCAGCCCTATTTTATGGGGGGAGTGGGAGGAACAGCATCCCACAAGGACCAGTTTCCAATACTCGACACAGTACAGCATGGTATGGCACAACATGGCATGGCACCCCTGGATCCTCCAGAGCTGTTCTCCCTGGACATGGAGAAGGGAAACCACGAGGTGCTCAGCAGAGTCTATGCAGTGTGGGAGCAGGAACATGAATCCTTTCCCTCCCTCCAGCCAGCAAACAGTTTTGGCTCCTTATCTGCCCCTCAACACCCTGAAACTCCCCAGACTCGCTGCATCTCTGCTGGGAGGGAATCAAATGGGGGCTACGTGGGTATTCCCTGTGTCCTGTGGCTATGGGAAGCTGGAGCAAGAGCCAGGACCAGAAGCAGAGCCAGAGGCAGGGATAGGAAGGGACCCTGGTCAGGGCAGATGGATGCTCCTGGGGAGTGCTCTGCCCCACGTTGCTCTGACATCCTGTTTGCCATGCAGCAATAATCCAGTAAGTAAAGCTGGCTCCACAGGCAGTATTTTGGGATTTCTCCCTATTAATGGCATAAAAGCAACAGTCTGAAACTGCAAACAGCTTTTAAACAAAAATCACTATTCCCTCATGGCAAAGAGACGGCACAAAAACAGATAAAGAACGAACAAACAAACCATTTGGAAAATAATTCCTCAGTGATTTGGGAACAGCACAGAGTTTGGGCTCTGCCCCACCGTGAGGCAACAGGGGGAAAATCGCTCTAATCTAGTCTTTAGTGAGCTGGATCCGCTGCTGAGCCTCCCAGCTAGACTGGAAGGTGTGACTGGAATAGATCAGCTCCAGTCCCATCTACTTATTAACACCACACAGCATTTTGTCTATGAGAAGAACCTTTTTTAAAGAAAGCAGAGGGGGGCCCAGAAGAAGGTGGCTCTGAATGTGCTTTTGGCTCAGTGGTGGAAGGAGCAAGGAGGGGGTTTGATGTGTGATGGAAAATCCCTCCTCTCACCCCTCCCAAAGCACCCACAAGGGACCACACAGGAGAAGCAACACTGGAGGAGTGCTTTGATTTAAATCCTTGTAATAAAACAGCAGCAGCAGCACTGACATGGGGCACTCCTCTGAGTAGGAACCTTGATGCTGGCATGTCCAACAGATCACCCCAACCTCCACAGAAATAATTAGTGGTTATTAAGACACTTCAGTACAGAACATGGTGTCCACAGAGCTCCTAACTCCTGGTGGCTGAGCTGCAGGGAGGCTGTGGTGATCACATCCTGCTGGCCTGTGGCTTCATTGTCACTGATGGATGGGGAAAGGGTCCTTGGCAACAGCACAAAGGGACACAGGAGCAGGGACAGGCTCTAGGCAACACAGTAAGTTGTTCCATCAGTGCTGGTGTCTATATGGAGCACATGTAGTGCAGCAAGAACCAGTCTGCCTGCTGCCCAGCCCTGCTGTGGGTATATTCTGGCTGGTCTCAGCAGCCAGTATCTACTTCCTCCATCCTTCTCTTGGGCATTCCCATCTCCTCAGTCACACCACTGAAGTCCCTGGGTGCTGCCTGACCCCCCTTGCATAAAATGACATCGGTTACAAGGGAAAAACCAAAATCTGAGGCAGCGTGTTGGTCTGAGGTCTGGGACCTCCCAAGGTGTGCAGCTCTCCCACTGCCAGCCTGCTGTGCTGCATTCCCATGTCCATCCTTACTCTGCATCCTGAAGGTTCCTGCTGCACATCCCCATCCTCTTCAGCTGGTCAGACACACTAAAGCTGTTGGTGCTACCCCTGCTACATCCCAGTGAGTGCCAAGCATGGTCAGGAGGGTGTCAGAGGATGGGCCAGGCTTGGTGGGGCCAAACAATAGGTCAAGAGACAATGGGCAGAAGCTGATGCCCAGGAAGTTCCACCTGAACATGAGAAAGAACTTCTTTACTGTGCAGGTGACCGAGCACTGGAACAAACTGCCCAAAGAGGGTGTGGACTCTCCCTCACTGGGTTATTCAAGGACTGTCTGGACACAGTCCTGTGCCATGTGCTCTGGGATGGCCCTGCTTGAGCAGGGAGGCTGGACCAGATGCCCCACTATGGTCCCTTCCAACCTCACCCAACCTGTGATTCTGTGTGACCACACAGCCACCAGAAGGACAGAGACTCCAATCAGTGCTGCAGTCCCTCAGATTGCAAAGACACCCCCCTGATCCTATTGGGATGGAAATTCTGTGGTAACTGATAGGTGTTGCCCAGGCCAGGGTGTGTGAGGCAGCTTTTCCCAGCACAAAGACTCCCTCCCAACACCATGCTGATATGCCTGGCAAATCCAGAATATCCTATTTATTAAAGACACTGAAGATGCGGCGACATGGGAAGCAGACACCATTCAAAGGACTGTCACATCTGCATAGCTAAAGGATCCCAGCAGTTATAAATCCCTCTAAAATACTCAGCCCCTTGTTCTGATAGCAGGTTCTTGCTCCTACTTTGCAGAAACAGGCTTTTAATCCCTGGTATTAGGCAGCTTCCTGCTATGTTTCAAATGCACCAAATTAAGGGCTTCTCTAACAGCTGGTGTCTTAATGCTCAGAGAGGTTCTTGAATATCTATGAAAATCAGAGGCAAATTACATCTTTTAGTTAATAATTTCTTCTCCATTAACCTCCTTCTCTTCCCTTGTTAAGAGATGATGTAATGGTGCTTCTACGGCGTAACCCACCGACACCCTGGGCAGCCTGGCCGTGGGGAAGGACACTGTGCTCTGGGAACTGAGCCCTCCTCATCCCTGCCTGCTGCCTCTGGAGCCGACAGCCTACATTCAAATGGGAAAGGGCAGCTGTCCTGACCTCCCAAGCTGCTGGAAGTATTTCTGGAGAAAGATGTGCTGCCTCCCTCCAGGCTCTGAGCTCAGCCGAGCCAGTTCATCGCACGCTACACTCTGCACCACGTGGGCAGCTTTTCAGGTTGCTCTTGTTTCAGACCTGCTTTCCTCTGACCCTCACAGCTGTTATACCTGGGACTAGGACACTGAAAAATCCTGTTTGGGACAGCAGGTTGTGCAAAGAACTTGGCTGGCACTGTGCAGCCACTCACTGGGAAAAGTTTCCCCACACCTCGGCCATATCCCATCCAGCATGTGGGAAGGAGGATGGATCACTAACAGCCCTTTCTTTTAGCCACAAAACCTGTCAGGCAGAGCCCCAGGGGCTTTGGGCTCTGGCCCCTGGAAGATACCATCCTAACACCTCAAGTGTTTAATCCCAAGGGCAGCTTCAGCACAAACCACTCCTGATCCAGCCCTGCACTGCCCAAACCCACCATCCCCAGGAAACTTGGAGAAGCCAAGGATAAACCATCCCCAGGATAAACCCAGGATAATCCCCCAGGATAAACCAACCCCACAGACAACCTTGTGTGCTTTCCAGCTGGGATTTATGAGGACAGGGGATGCATTTGCTACCTGGAAGCGACAAAACATCCCTTAGACACACCAGCTCCTGGAAAACTTCATCTCTGCAGCCCTGGCTCTGCTCTGATGGACACACTGATGCTTGTAATGTGTGAGGGAGAGAAAGCAAAGAGGAGTCCAGTGGGAAAATTGCCTTTGTGTCCTGTCAATTCTCACTTCCAGCAAAGGCTGAGGCTCTGCTGGCTCTAAGCACTCCACTGGCTGCGGCTTTCTCGGCACCTCTGTGCTGATGGAGCTTGTAATGCTTCTGTCACCAAGACAGCAGAAGGCCAGAGTTCAGCCTGAATCCACAGCCAGGAAAGCTTTGCACTCAGCTGGGGAAGAGCACCCAGCAAAACTCTGTGGTCAGCAGGGGTGAGCACCCACAGCTCCAGCTAAAATTGGAGGCAGCAATGAGGTCTCTGTGCCCAAACAGGAAAGAAACGCTCAGTGCAGGTGCTGGGCAGGGAAGAGCCATGTCTGGGTGGGATGTGAGCTGGAGTCTTTCCTGACTGTGGTCAGTGCTGCTGCTTTCAAACTCATACACCCACCCTGCCTTACACCTGATCAAAATGCAGTCAGGAGAACTGAAGAAAAACAACTAAATAACTCATTGTCCAGCCCTGAATTCAGCAAGCTCTCCTCTGTGAGCACTGCAAGGTGAAGGTATTTACCTCCAGCTCATTTACATTATTTATCATGCTATATCCACAGCTCCTCCCAGTGCTGTAACGGGGACATTGAATAAAACCAGCTTGCATAGGCTGAAAATATGCCAAAGGAAATGCTCTTTCCTCCTACAGCAATTAAACGTTGGAACTCATTGTCACAGGATATTGCAGAGATGAAAGACATCAGTGTTCAGAAAGAGATGAGGCAACACTACTGAGAAAAGCCCCAAAACACAATTAAACACTCATCTGATGAGAGATACACTGGCCCAGGAGGGTCCTCTGTTGCTGCCTGTGGGAAGTATGAGCAAGTAGGAAAGCCATAGATGCTTATTGTCCTCTTGTTCTCTTCCCCTAGTGAGCATATCAGAGATGCTGCCTTTGTACCACTGGACCTTAGTCCTGTCTCACCATCCTGCTGTTCCCAAGACTAGGAGAAGAACCAGGACATACCTGAAAGTCATTTGGAACACCTGGCCTTGGTTGACATGCTGGGTCCTATTGTTATAGCCATGGAGCATCTCCCCAAAAAGGGTGTCGTTGAACTTGGCATCCGACTTCAGGCACTTGGGGCCCTCACAGATGTCAGAGAGCATCAGGCAGGACTTCCCATCTGGGGCCAGCTTGTATTCCTCCACGCACCTGAGGAGCACCACAAGCTACATGAGATAGGCCAGGCACAGAGCATCCCACCCCACGAGCCTCTGCCAAGCCCAGCCAAGCACCACCAACACCTGCAGCAGCTGCCTGGGCAGGAGAAGGGGTCACAGAGCTCAAATCCTCTGCCCAGGCTGGGATGGGTGACCAGCAAACAAGCACATGGTTCCCAATCCTCCTCCCTCCTCCAGCAGCACAGCCCCATCTGCTTGCAGCCAGGTTGGGTAGGGCTGTGAGCACCCTGGTCTAGTGCAAGATGTCCCTGCCCGTGGCAGGGTGGTTGGAAAAGACAGTCTTTAAGATCCCTTCCAACCCAAACCATTCTGTTTCCATGCTGTCCTGCCTGGAGCTGCCCCTGCACTGGAGAGCAGAGCTGAGCCCACTGTGCATCTGCTGCTCAGGTACAAACATTCCCCAGGCCACAGCAAAGCAAAACCAAGCTCCTGCCCCTTTTTCCACCCAGCAGTGCTCTCCTGCAAGGAAGCAGCTCCAGCATGGCTGCTCCTTTGGTCCTTGATCCCACTTTCAAGCACATTGTGGGTAAGGTGCACACGCTCACCTTCAACAGACAGGAAGGGAAACTGAGGCAGGCAGCAGGGATGTGATTTAACTGCAGACACTGGAAACCTCAGTGGAATATTTTGTATATGTGCTTAACTTGCCTCCCTCCTCCTCCTCTTCCTCCAGCTCTTTTCCCAGCATTGTGGCTCCCAGCTGACAGGGAAACCTCCGTTCCCCGCCTGCCCCTTCCTCCCCTTAGCCACAGCACTCTGCTAACACCACTGCCACCTCCATCCAGGCTTGCTTCCCCCTCCCATTGCTCTGCTGCATTTTACTGCTGCAAGTGAAACTCCCACCCGTCTGTCGCACTTTTCCTTGCCTGCTCCCTAAGTGCAGCTCAGTCTTGAAAAGGGATTATGGGAAAAAAAAAAAAAGAAAAGAAAACCTGGGAAACAGTCTCTGTCCTTGGGGAACGGAAGACTGAAATGCATGGGCATGGATGGGGACCATAGAGTGTCCCAAGGTTTTCTAGATTCTCCCTAAAAAGGATGCCTATATGGATTTCCAACCGTTTCTGCAGGCATGGAACAGGCAATGTGCTCTCTCTTGGTGACTCAACCACTCTGTGCTGCTAAACAACAATAAAAAAAAGAAGGTAGTGGAGGAAAAAAACCCCAACAATCCAGCAAAAAGGGATAAATAAAGGAGAAGCTGGCACAGGCAAAGCTCCCTGTGCTGCTCTTCCCAGGCAGCAGCCAGGGCTGCACAAGGTCTCTGCTGCACTTGCAGCATCGAGACTTGACAGGGTAACCCCTTTGAGTTAGGAATTTGCTCCCCCTCTTGCTTGTGGGCATTTCCTTTCCAAAAGGGCTCCTTTTCCTCTTCTTCACCTAATCCTTCCCACTGGGACGTGAAGGGTCCTGGGTGTGCCTGAATGTGTTAACCAGCCATGGGATGCAGCCAGCAGAGCCAGGGTGGGCAATGGATGGCTGCAGCTGTGCAGCATAAAGCCAGATAATCACTGAGCTCCTTTTAGAGCACACTGCAGCCAGGGAGATCTTCCTGAGAGAAAATGCTAAATTGTGTAGGATTATAGGATCCCGGCCAAAATCAGGGATGAAACTCTATTTTAAGAGAGGCACAGAGGAGGAAAAAAATAATAAATTTAAGTAGTGTTTTTTAAACAAATCCTCCATTTTCCCCCTCCAACACACAATGTATAATTTTTGGGTCCCTTCACGGTGAGTCACAGATCAAACTGTACCATCACACAGTGGGGGAGAGGAGGAAGGTGCATCTGCTCAAACTGCTCCTCACACTTCCATACACTCCTGCCCACAGGCAAACCAGGTGCCTTTATTCCCTGCTGGAATTCAGCTCCATATACAGCCTTTTTCTTGGATGCCCAGCTCCGCTGCTGGGCATGCTGGGTTGGGATGGGTGGCACAGGAAGGTTGGCAGGGATGGAGAAGAGGTTATTTATCTGCTAGTGGGAGAAGCAGGAGCCTTGGAGGGGACTCACCCACAGAACATGAAGATGGTGCTGGACGAGGGGTCGTGGGGCAGAGGGAGGGTCTGCTGGAGACAGAGCTGCTCACAGCCCCCGTTGAAGCCATCTGAGCAGTCGATCCCTTTGGAGTAGTCGTAGCAACCGGTGCCATCCTTCATGGGTCGGAGGTCCTCGGGGCACTGCAGCAAGAGAGGGACAAGGCAAGGTCACCCATGGGTCCTCACCTACCCTGGAGCCCCTGCCTGGTGGGTGCCCTCCCAGAACACAGCCCATCCAAGAGCCAGTGCTGCTGAACTCAGTTTACACCTAAAGGAGATGAGTTTGTCCTGAGTGATGGATGGGGCAGCCCCACGGGCCCTGCATCACCTTGCACAGCCTTTGGGAAAGGGGCAAGGACCATGGAGCAAGGACTTGGTTGCTGCCAAAGCCTTGCTCCCCATCCTCCCTCCAGAGGAGGGTGAATCCCTGAGGCAGTGAAATCACACAGCCATGAAGCCTCAGGCCAGTGTGGGGCAAAGCACAGTGTGACAACCCTCTGGGTTTGCTACCTGTTCCTCCGAGACTCAGAGGAGTCCAGTGCAACCCAGAAAAAACACCTCAACACCTGTGACCAACCCAGAAAACCACCTCAGTGCTCAGGAAGGATCCAGAAAATCATCTCAACCCACGCCAGGCAGGCCAGCAAGTGTGGCCTTGGTATTATCTTCAAAAGGATCTTGCTGCCTGCTGTGGGCAGGACCAGCCCATGGCAGAGCGGGACTGGGGGCAGCCAGGATGGCATCCCAGGCTCATCAGTTTTCCACAGCCAAGGTAACCATGCCGAGTCACATAAGCTGGAGATCTGGCTCTAGTTTTTAATTCCAGCTCCCCAGCTTGTTTTCCTTGCCCCAAAAGAAAAAAGCAAGTGGGTGGCAAATGCCATCGATAAATTGTCATCCAGATTAAAGCACTATTCCACCTGCATTATTTATCCTTTTTTGCCAAACACACACGCACACAAACAACAACAAAAAGGCCAGTCCTTGAAAAAATACATAAATCTTGTCTAGAAGCAGCTCACAATTAAAAATGCATTATGGAATTTCTTGAAGATGAGTTAGACTGGAGCTTGCATAGGTAGTGATGAAGGCAGGTTATAAATGTCCTCTGTCAAGCAGAAGAAAGGTTATAAAACCTCTATACTTCGTGCTTAAAAAAGAAAATCAATTTTCCATGTGAGCAAAATGCTGTATATATTAATAAAAGTTCAGAAAACCCTGGACCCTGTGCTCACCAATACAGGCAGGGTCCTGACAGGAGATGGGCTGCTGAACCACACTTAATCTTGGCTACTCAAGAAGCAAACTGCCCATGGGGGAGAGCAGAAAGGGGCTTTAAGGAGTCCTGGCCCACCCTGAGCAATCAGAGTCCTTGAATTTTTCAGACTGGAAGGGACCTTAAAGCTCATCTCATTCCAACCCCCTCTGCCATGGGCAGGGACACCTTGCACTACCCCAGGTTGCTCCAAGCCCTGTCCAACCTGGCCTTGGACACTTCCAGGGATGGGGCAGCCACAGATTCCCTGGGCAACCTGTGCCAGGGCCTCACCACCCTCACAGGGAAGAATTTCATCCTAATATCTATTTTAAGCCTATCCTCCTTCAGTTTAAAATCATCACCCCTTGCCCTATCCTGCTAAAAAGTTTGTCCCCATCTTTCTTGTAGATGAGCCGTTTCTCTCCGCCTCCTACAAATCCTGTGACATTTTCTTATGGCAGCAGCACCAAAGCTGCTTCTGCCCTGTCTGCAGCAACTGTGATGTCTTGACCTCTGTGCCAGTCATCCCTCAGACCCCACAATGCCTCCCATGCCCTCAGCTCTGAAGCTCAGGTGGACATTGCAAACCTCAGCACCTTCCCTGGGGACAACAGGTAAGGTGGGAAGGGAAGGCACAAGGCTTTTCCAACCAAAGGATCTTGGCAGTAAAAGGCTCTGGAATAGGATGCTGCCCATCTCTGCAGAGCAGTCAGGATTCCAAAGACACAGTTTAGGAATCAGTAGCCCTGACCAGGCAGGAAGCAGCAGAAGACAGGGGAGCACGAAGCTTTCCAGCTGCACGTACAGAACAACGATGAAGGAGGAGGAGAGGACACTTAGAACAATCTGTGCTTTTCACTGCCTGGGAAATAGGATCAGGATAAGAGTGTCTGTGAATCTGCAGATACAACACTTCTCTCCTGTGGTCTCCTCTGTGTCTGCTGGCCCTGCTGTAAGAAGCAGGGCTGTGTAAATTGGCAGAGAGGAGGCATCTCCCTGGAGGACACGGAGGGCTGACTGCAACAGCATCTTCTGCTCCACGGCACCACATCCACGTCTCTGCTCCTCTTTTGACAGGGACTGGGGGGGGTCCAGGGCTCTGCTCAAGCACCCTCAAGCTCCCAAGGGACCTTCCAGGGTGCTGAAGGCAACTGGATGGGACTGTAAGTCAGCAGGAGCTGCAGGACCACAGCCAGAGGATCAGCCACGGCTTTTCTGAGCTGTCACTTTGAGTTCTCGCCTTGGCACTGATCCATGTGCTGAGCTCAGCATCTTCCCCAGCCCACAGAGGAAGAAGATGGCTCTTTCCCTGGGACTGGGTTAGTGGGTCACCAAAGCCTTCCCTCCCTTAGCCTTGCTCTGCTCGAGGCCACCCTTGGGATATTCCTCCAGTTTTGGCTTTCAACCACCACAAAACCTGTTTCCTTTCAGCTTGTAATTAAGCATCCTAATACACATTAATTAGAGCAGGCAAATAGCTCAGCACAACATTTGCAAAAGAAAGCACCTCCTCCCCTCCACATCCACCCCAGCTCTGAGCAGACCCAGCTCTCCAGCCAGCTCTGTGCCACAGCACAAAGCTCTCCACGGACAGAAAGCTGTGGGAGCCAACACACAAATACAGGATGTGTCCCTGCACTGTGGGGCTGGGGAATACAAAGATGCCAGGGACAGCAAACCAGGGGATCCAACAAGCTCAGCAACCAGTGCCAGCTTGCAAAACCAACAGGAGAGGCAACAGCACCCCCTGCACGGAGGGGTTTGCACAGATGAACAGGTGAACGGGGCAGTTGTGGGTACAATAAATCATAGAATGGTTTGAGTTGGAAGGGACCTTATAAATCATCTGGTTCCAACTCCTCTGCCATGGGCAGGAATGGCACCCACAAGGCCAAGTTGCTCAAAGCCCTGTCCAATTTGGCTTTGAACACTTCCAGGGATGGGGCAGCCACAGCTTCTCTGCACTAATAAAGCTTTTTAGCAGATCTCCCTGCCTCTGGAGTGGAGGATCTCCCATCAAGATCCCACCAACAGATCAGAGTAGGGCAAAACCAAAGCCCATTTGGGTGCAACTATGTTCTTGCCCACAGGAGTCAGAAATGACCCAGGAAGAAGCTGGTTTCTGCTAAGCCTCTCCCTGGGCTGTGCTGGGAGTCAGTTCGGGCTCCTGGTTGGCCTTACAAAATCAGCACTCACCTTATGTTCGCTGAGCTTTTGTAAAGGAGCACATCTGTTCTTGCTGACATTGATTTGCCTGGCTTGGGCAGCAGAGAACCAATAATTATGGTGAGTTTAAATCAATCCCCCATCAATTTAGCTGCAGTTCAATTTGCGATCTGCCTTGGCAGTGACACAGGACGGGGGGCTGTGTTGGAAAATGATTAGAAAATCAATAAGCAACTCTGTCAATAGTTCTGTCTGGGCGATCAGGGGTGGCACGTCCCTCCCTGGTGGGAGGAAAGCTGGCAAGACGTGGTGCCCCAGCAGGTTCTGGTCATCTACTTGTGCATGCCCCTCATCAGGATACAGGATGGATCCTACACACTGTTAGCCAGCAATTCAAAAGAAAAAGCTGTTTGTGGTTTACCCTGTTAGACCCACACTGCTTGGGTTCACTTCCAATTCCCAGCCCATCTTTCATCCATAGATCTGACCAGCAAAAATATCTCAGAGCTTGGGAAGAAGGTCTGCTACTTAATCCATCCTACAGAGAGGAACAGAGATATAGGGAGAGACTCCAGCTCATGGTCTGCTCTGAAATGCCAAGGAGAAGCTGTTACCACACAAATGTAATTCCACTGCCTTGCAAATCCACTCCGTCTATGCAGAATTGAACTGATTTCTCTGCGACAACAGACAGCCCTGAAAATTGCTCTTGGCATTGGGAAAGAAAACTTAGTTTGTCGTCGTGCTGTGCACTAGCACTGACAACACAGATCCTGCAGGCTAAATGCAACCCACAGCTCCAAGGCCTGGACCCTGCTGCTGCCAGTGGAGCAGGAAAGGGATCAGCAGCAGCTCCACGTGGTTTGGCTGATGGCACAGCCAGGCAACAGCCCCATTCCCTCCCATCCACGCCAGGCAGAGCATCCAGGTCCTTATTCCTGTGACTGCAGTCAGCAAATGAATTCTGAGTACACACAGGGAATGGATGTGCTGAATAAGAAGTGCTATTTTTATCTAGGTTTTTTTTCTAGAAACATGCTTTTTTCCCTTTTAAATGACATCTCCAAGGTGACATGGAGTGGCAGATCTGGCAGGACCTGCTGCCACATGCCTGCAGCCGCCCCTGGGAATACACCAGATCCAGCCTCTCTGCTACACAGGGCTGTGGTCTGGAATGACATGGGATACCTGTGCCCATTGCTGTCCCCCCATCACAGCATGTGGAACCACGTGGCCTCCTGCCACCAGGACTGGGCTCCTCTGCCCACCACCACCGTCCTCAGCATGGCCAGAACAAACACAACAGGAGGAGGATCATCTTCAGGAAAGAATGCAAGCACATGACAGAACCTGTACAAGGTTGTGCCTTAGGAAAATAAATATCTGGGCAAGACCATGCTCATGTTAGGTAAAAAAAAAAAAAAGAGCCTTTGCTCACTTTCTCGTTTACAAAGCTCATTAGCAGCGAGATGGGCGAGGGGGTCACTGGAAGTAAAATCATCACTGACACAGATCCCCCAGACGAGAGCACACCAGCTCTCCATCTGAGCTGCCTGCCAGAGCTGCTCAGCTCAGCTCCTCGCTTCCATTATTAAGTTTAAAAAACCAGAATATTTAATAAAGTGTTTCTGTAGAGAGTAAACTGCCCTTTTTGTTATTCCACTGTTTTCTCAACAACAGCAGCCTTCTTGTCAGAAACTTCTGAGCCAGGGTGCCA